TAAATAAATAAATAAATAAATAAATAAATAAATAAATAATAAAATTATCTTGTTTTGAGACAAACTAAGCAAGAGCAGAATGTGTAAGATCAATAATCTTGATATCCTAGAAATTTGACTCAAATATCTGCCAATGGAGTAAAACAATTGCACTTCTTGAAATAAAGAACATTTGAGTCAAATGAAGTGATTTCAGGAATCTTACCAAGTGCAATTCTTATACTCTATTGGCAGATTATTTCACTTAATTTCAGTCAAATTTCCAAGCTAACAAAAGTAATCATCTTACACATTACACAGATGGACAATTTTTGCAGTGCAGTGAAAAACAATCTTTTAAAGGTGCAAAAAATATACATACATTTTCATTTGCRGTGTGTCTGAACATTATGTGTTTGCAACCAAATGACCATCAAGCCGTGAGGCTGCATTTCGAGCCGGCAGTTTTTGAAAATCTTGGCAGTAACTTGCAAACCTGCAGAACTGATCGTGCACATCTGCAGCCACGCAGAGACAGAAACATATGTGCAACGGAAGAACAAGAGACAAAGAAAGAAAACTGAATATAAATCTGGAAAAAACCTGAAACACACCACTCACATGCTCTATAAAGACTCCCTTTAAAACTTAGCCCTGACAGTTAAGTGCATCAGTGCATCCTCCTCTAACTTTGAAAACAGAAGTAATCAATAAAAGACTGTAAGAAGACACCACCCAGCCATTTATTTTCTTTGTAATGTATTTAGGAAGTAGAATTTAAAAGAAATGCTGGAAGTCAAGCTAGGGCTTTTAAATCAGCCATGTAACCTCTCTCATGAAAGAGCTGGAAAAGCTCATTAAAATGTTTGGCTGGCTGCAGAGAGRATCTCTGGGGCGAGTCTGGCCTGATCTAAAGCGCAGCTACATCCAGACAAATCCTCGTCATCCTCATCAAACATAAGCAATAAACAACAAAACAACCAGGGTCATTCTTAGAGAGATTACTTTTGCTCTGAGGAAAATCAAAAACAATTATTTTACATCAGCAACAATAAACAACAAAAAGAACTATTAAAGATTCCAAACATGCCTTTATTCATTTTTATTTACAACACATTTCATTTCTTAACACAAAACGCAATTTCAGTCTTAGCAGTGCATACCTGCAATAACATATTTTATTGTTTCAACAACTAATAATCTCAGATGCACAGGACCTAACCCTCTAAGCCTAAGGTAACTCAGAATTCACTATTCTAAGAAAACTTAAATGTGTTCTAATATTTCTTATCTTTCATGTTTGTTGAAAGTGGTTCTTTTAGAAGGAGCCGACTTTACTGAAATAAAACATCTGAAATCTGACAGCATCATTCATTAAACCCATTGTTTATTTAACATAAATGAACCATTTTTTTCTGTGACGGTAAGCACGTCGTGCAGCTTCCAAACTTTTATCTTCCACTTTCCTCTTTTTTTTAAAACTCCAGACCAAACTTCTTATTGAGCCATTTGGACCATGACTGCCTTCCAGGCCCGGTCTTTGTCAGAGTTCTGCAGCGTCCCGTTGGGCGTCTGCTGCTGATGGAGGGAGAAGCACACATGAGGACATGACAAATACATTTTTAGATGTTATTTCACTGAGCTGCAGGAAAAAAAATAAATAACTGACTTGTGTCTTTTTGTATAAAAAAAAAGCCCATTTTGTGCTTTCTGCTCCTGTTTTTCACCTGCCATACCTCGCTGTAAAAAGCGGTGGTTTGCACGCCATCATCGCACTCTGGAGCCCTCATGCGGAGCTGACTCTTATATGTGGCACAGTGCACCACAGTGGCTGAAGTAAGGACTGCCTGCACCAGCAGCAGCACCATCAGAATCAGCAGCAGGATGTCATAGGATTGCTGGGACACAMATTTACACACAAACACACAYACACAGAAAAWWCAGATYGTTTCATCACGAGTAACTCCCTCCACCTTTTCAAACCTCTGCTCTTATTCTCTCCTGCTGACTGAAAGTCGAGGCCGGATCGGTCAAATTCTAAAAGTCTGCAGGTTTCGCACACTTTCACTTCATCAAATTCACCTTGGCTGTTGGCACTTCATGAAGGAAGATTTCAATAAAGTTGATCAYGCTGCAAGACAGGAAACCGGAGGCTGAAAAGAGCAGGGGAGATGTCACACTGCTGATGGCAATCAGCACCTCCACCTGAGAAATGCCACCGAAGGAGAAGGGAGGGGGGCAAAAACACAAGAAGGTGTGAGAATAAAATCATTCTTAAAAAGCAGGATGAATATGAGACAACAGAATRTAAATTTAATTAATCTTCTATAGGTTAGGAAATAGTGGAAGGAAGAAGTGGAACAGTTCACAACATCCACAAATATAAATTTTAATTCACTGAATTAAGCGAGGGGAGGATTTATAAACATAATGATTGGTGGATTTTGTCTGTGTGTTGATCCTGCATTAAGTAATTAAACATAAAATTTAATAATAATGTGRAATGCATCATGCAGACATTTTGGTTGGCAGATGTCTGAATTTTAAAACATACTAATGGAATTGCACTCTTATATAACTGCAAAAAAAGCCAAATGATGCAATTTTAAAACTTTATAAATTCCCTGACTCCACAACTTCCTCCAAAAGCTTCTGCTGAACAATTCAGCATTTAGTCGAAGTGATAGCAGAAGCCAGAGGTTGATGGTAAACTGTTTTGTGCATCAGCTCAATCATTTTGTTTTATAATTCGAGAGCGAGGACTTCATTTAAAGAAGTGCAAGAAACCACTAAACGATTTAAAAAATATAGTGCTGAAACCTTCATGAATGTGCAGAAGAGCTTCATGAAGGTTTAGCTGGGAGGGTTGTGCACGACTGTTGTGCTAGCACACCTGCGCAAACATGACCTTTATAAAAAATTCATCAAAACAAACTACTCTCTCTGCCTCCACGGCACGTGCTTCATCATTAAGAAAAATCAGGGGGAAACGAATGTGAGACATTTTGTAAATGCCTTCTAATGGTAGACAATTAACTTGACAATGTTTGAATAAAACCTTTATGCCAAGATAAGCAACGGTAAATCCTCAGTGCTGCAGCCTTTAAGCCTTCAACTGGTACCCAAAATTTTGTTTCCCCATTTTGGCTTATTTTGACACTCTTAAAGATGCAYGGACATTAAAAACTTGTATTCTTTCTAAGTAAGGCCCACAAAAACCATTACCTAACTGTAAACAAATCATTTTCTTATAATCAGACTTTGAAAAAAGTATCTGTTTGCCAATAGATCAGGGTTATCTGGGCCCGAGTCTCAATTCAAAATGCCATTTAAGTGTCACTTTCAAATAAAGCCACAAAACCATAAAATTATCATAAACAAATCAGTTTTTAATGGTGCATTTACATATTTGTAATTGGGTAATGGTTAGTTTAAAAAAGCACATTTTTGTAGTCCTTATTTGCAAGTATCAAAAAGCTTATCTTGGTAATTATTTTAACCTCCATGCAAAACAGCCTTTTTCTGTTTTCTATTTCCTTTAACTTCTTTTAACTTAAGATCTGACAGTTGAACTTGGACATGTTTGGTATCAAAAGCTAAGAATCTTGGCTAAAAGCTCATGGAAACAATTTTTACATTCACCAAACACAGTGCAAATGTCAAGGTGAATCAGAACGTGAACAAACYGTACAAAATGGCWTCAMTGCAAATCTGTAAAGGAGAAGGTTTTGACTTTTTTTAAAGCAAGTCAAAGTAGATGCCTAAATATGTTGTAAAGTGTGTTGAAATATTTTTTCACTTGATTTTGAGTTAATATGATTCAGCTGAAGTAAAATGTAATTTCTCACTATTTTATATAATAATTATGGTGACAAATAATTGTTTGGATAATTAAAAAAAACATTCCATAACAATTCTTTTAAGGCAGGTAAGAAAAAACAAATAACTTTTGTAAGTAAAAACTTGAGATTTCTTAACATTTATTAATGGTACCCTCATGTGCAGAATGACAAAATTCAAAATTATTTCTTTACAAAAACCTCTGTAACTTTGCTCCAGGTAATTTTAACAGCATGAATCTTTGCACGGGTAATGTCCACAAGTGGATTTATGGTTTCCAAGAGTTTTTAGCCTACTTCATTTTGGTTTTAAATAGGTTGTATGAAAAGATTATTCAGGTGAGAGTGAAAAAAATATCATGATTCATCCCCAACCACAGCACTGTTTGAATACTTACACTTCTGATGAAATATCTCAAATGATAGCTTTATTTTGATACCAGGATTATTTAAGTAGAGTTTTTAAATGCAGAGATAAACTCAATTACATTTCAGAATAGTATTTTGAGAAAAAAAACTTCAAGAAAAGCCCTTGGGGCTTAAGAGGTTATTGGTAATTTGTAATTTCATCTCTTTTGTAAGTCTGGTAATTTATTCTTAGAGTTTTACATGAAAACAAAAACATTGAATTGAACTCACCAGGCATTTGTTGGGGTATTCTGACACCACGTGACTGGCAATAGCACTTGGAAAACACTGCAACAAATTAGAAACAAAGTTTAGGCTGATCAGGGTTCAGCTTCTTGTTAGTTATTTATCTTTCTGAAGTGAGCTGAAAAACCTACAGCCACAAGAATCCAGAAAAATGTCACGGACAAGTAGGGACCAGGCAACAAGGCGTCCATGTTGAGCGCTATGATGCCTCCAAACACAGCAGAGATTCCTACAATCACTTCGATCACCTGTAAGAAACATTCGTCAGCTATTCAACAGTAAACATGTAGGAAACACAAGGCAGTAAACAAAACTAAACCCTCAACTCACAGAGTACGCCTTGAGGCGTCGAGTGGGGAAGACTGCAGGTTTGATGGCCGCAGGTCTGTGACACGTTCCAGACTTTAGGAAACAGAAATAGGTGAAGATGGAGGTAAGAGCGGGATCAGAAGTGAAGAGGCATCAGACGGGTGAACAAAAGCAATCAATCACATGAAGAAAGCCTCACACACACACACACACCTTCCTGCGGCGGCAGCAGTCGTCTGCAGAGCGAGCTGACAGGATGACGGTGCCGGCCGTCAACACCTCCAGCAAAATCATCAGGATGAGGTTGAAGTTGATCTGAGGGCAGACAGGGCGGGGGCGTGAAAACACACGGGCGTCATGAATCAAGAAAAGAAACAGAGGAAATGCTTTTAGTTAACAAGTCAACGGCTGGTTACTATAATAAGTCATTAAAGATGAACCAGGGCAGGTTTACATTGACAGCAGATGGGTTCAGGACCAGTTTACAACCAAACCAAACCAGGCAGGTGGTTGTCACAGCAAATGTTGACACAAAGACAACCTGGAAATCTGATACCTAGAAAAAGAAACCAACAGATGCTGTTAAAATAACCAATAAAAATAGTTAACACGTAAATAATGTATCTGTTTCTCTGCCCTCACTCACTGCAACATGTCTGTTCTTGGCAATAGCAAAGCTAGCTATGGCTGCAGGGATGCCCTGTTGAGGAAGAACAACAATTATTTTAATGCAGACACTGTCTGAAAGTCACTTAACTGGCATTTTTGSCATGAAGCGCTAAATGAAATGTTGTGAAAAGATTCAGTAAGGTACAGGAAGGTCAGGGCTGGTCACTCACTGAGCCTGCAGCACAGCGCAGGTAGTCCATGGCAACAGGAAACACATTTCCCAGGTACAGAGAGAAACCAGATGTGATGAGCAGACTCCCCTGAGGAACATGAAGGTGCGTATATGATGCAAACGTGTTTAACTGGTGAATCTTTTGCACATGAGGATTCATTTACTGGAAGTCCTCGGGTGACTGAAAGAAGTAAATTCAGTTTATCCATCAGGGACATTCTGTCCTCTTTAAACTCAAAGCACAAAACCAGAACTTTTGTTGCCACATAATCAAAATTCATGTATTTGGATACTTTTAGATTCAGCATTCACACTATCGTTTTTCTGTTGCTCTTTTCACTGCATAAAAATTACACTGAAATCTTGTCGACAAACATTGTTCTCTAAAAATTGGCGTCGTGAGATTTGCTGCTTCTGATATGTTCATTCTAGCTTTTAGCTACTCTGAATCATTTTAACTCTTTGCTACATGTTTTTGTTAACCTTTAGCTAATGTTTTGCAAAGTTTAGTGTTTAACCTCGGTTTTCTTTTAGCTTTTGGATGCTGTGTGGCTAATTGTAGCTATGAGCTATGATTTTTTTTTATTTTAGCTTTTAGCTGATATTTTAGCTTTTGTTTGGGTAATTTTGATGAGTAATGTTTTTTCTCTCTCCCAAATTTTAGCTTTTAAATACAATTTTATTCATCTTAGCTTTAAACTACTCTCCTCATTTTAGCTTTGAGCTAATATTCGGAAAATTTCAGCCTTTTGATGTTTGTTTTGTTGTTAATTTCACTTTAAAGTATGGTTTTTCTTAATTTAGCCTACAAATACATACTTACAAAGTTTAGGTTTTAGCTACAGTGTGGATAATTTTAACTTTTAGCTAGTATTTTACTCATTTTAGATTTAAGTTATAATTTTTTTATTATTATTTTTGGGGTTTAGCAACTGCTATTTTTTCAGTTATATATTATACATAAGTTTTGCTACAATTACCATTTAGTAACTGTTTTAATTTTTCAGTTTGTAGCCACAGTTTTGTTACTACTAACTTATTAACAAATTTCAGCAAAGTCATTCATCCTTTGAGTATTTTTGTAGAAAATGTAACATCTCTAGTTTTTTTTTTTCTGGCTCCTTGTCCATATTTGTTCTCACCCCTATGAGGACGCTGTAGAGCCAGGCCCTGCAGCTGAAGCAGGGGTGTCTCAGAGGCTCTAGCTGGGACAGCTGCAGGTCACTGGCTCTCACGTCCACCGTGTAGCTGTCCCGCTCGCTCCTGTCCGGCCTTCTCTCTCCTCGGCGTCCCAGCGTCCCGTTGCCTCGCTCCAGAGTGGACATGTGGCTGTAGGTGAACTCCTCTCTGGCTGACAGCTCCTCATGCTGCATTATAACAGCTGGTGACAATATCTGCTGGGGGGAAAAACTAAGAAAAAAGATACATTGGAAACGTTGAGTGAGTTCATTTCTGTCTTTTATCCACTTTCACAATGATATTTAGTTCCAGACTGGAGGGACAATAGAAACAACTAATTGCAGCAAGTACTTCAGCTTCCTCTTTTTAACAGACAATAGTTTACTCACCTTTTGTTGTGAACCTTTGCAGTCCTCGTTCAGCAGAMGAATCTGTAAAAGCTGTTGTCAAAACACCGAAAGCAGGAAAGCTTGTTTATCTCTGGAGCTTCTTCTGCACCCCATCCCTCTCCCACAAACTCCCCTGCTCTTTCCCCCCTTTTTTTTCTTCCTCTGTTGCCTCCTCTCTTTTTTTTTCTGAAACCACTCTGAAAAGTTTTTGGAGCCCTTCAAAGCGTGGAGCTGAAACACATGGCTCTTRTGCTGCCAGCCCACTTTGTGCCAACGGGAATGCGCTTGTGCATGACAACAAGGGGCGCATGGAGGGGCTCGAACTGGGGGCAGAGTTAGCAGGGCAGGCACCCTTTTTATCCTCCTCCCCATTTGCTCAACTACACACACACACACACACTCACACACACCCTTGAGCACGGCAACCCACTTAGAAAACCAAACAATGGGCCTTCAGAACCAAAAACTTGTCAACACAGAGTGGTTTTTTTTTTCACTTCCCAGAAATGAGAATTTCATAAAAATCCAATCAAGTCAAAAAAGTGTTTCTATTCATCCCTTTGTGTCACTTCCCCTGGTGTTACTTTACTTTCAGTTCACAGCTCAGTAAATTAAGATGCCCTGCCGTGCTTTAGAAAAGCAGCGGCAGAGACATTTCCACGGCTTCATCACATGCTGTCTGGTCTGACGGAGCTAATCGGATGACGAATCGTTTCTGATTTCAGCTAAAAAAAACAATCAAACTCAGGAGCGCAGACGTCGTGGAACGATGACACTTTTTGAGTGTGCGTTAATTGCGAGTGTCTGCAGATGAGCGTGTACGCGCGCCTCGGGATGCCCTTTTCAGTCCCTAACACGGCGCGGCATTCCCGGCTCTAAATTGTTCCCGGGCAGCTGTGACCATGGCAGCGCCTCAACAACTTGTTGTCACAATGTCCCCTCGACTACAAATACCATTCAGCCAAAGAGACGGGCGTTTTGCAACAGTCTCTGAGAACACTGAGGAGGATTTGCAAAGGCTGAAACACAAATTAGGATAGTAATAATTCATTCCATAAACCCAAAAGTCCAGAGAATTTAAAGTTTTGTGCTGCTGGAGGGGAAAAAGATAGATCTTGAAAATCAAAGGCACATAATAGAGCTGTGAATGGGATGCGTCAGCTGGAGGAGTAGGAGAGGAATTCTTTTCTGCAGCATCTTTACTGACAGCAGCTGTGGTGCAGAGTGACCTCACGTCGTCTTCGCAGCTCTGCCTTCAGATCAGACAGAAAAGAACACAGCAATGCCTGTCCTCTGCAATTCCTTTACTCCAGTAAAACAAACCATCAGGACCTGTGATGTTTTACAGTCACAAATGTCCTGATGCATCTCAGTAATCCAGGTAAAAAATCAAAAAGAAAAAATTGTGTAGGTCTTCTGGACGGGTTCTTCTCTAATGAAACGTTTCGTCTCTCCTTAAGGTTAAGGTTCATTAAGTTTTCTGGACAGATTCTTTAATGTAACCATTTCAACTCTTTTTCAAGAAACTTCAGTCTGAACAGTTCAGGTAAACTCAGACA